CGTTCACTTGAGCATCATTCAAGTGGGTTCTTGGAGGTAGAGGAAAGAAGAATATATAGCACATTGATACGACTATAAGTGGCTGTTGGACAGCCAAACTACATACAAACACTTTAGCATTTTTGTTTTCATTTAATAAAATCCTTCCAGGACTCAAATACTTGAATGATCTACCATGGTTAACTGTTAAGAAACTTATTTAAATCTTGAGAGAGTTGTATGTTATAGATGGAGTTGTGGTTGTCAATGTTTTTTGAGAAACTCAACTTCAGTTTCTCGCATCCAAAAACAACCTGGATTGTTATGCTCCTCCCCAGTCAGTCAGGCTAGACCAAAGCTTTCGGTCCTCCTACTGCAATAGCTGGCTTTTTAGCCCTCTCTTCTTGTTCTTCCACTCAGCATTATTACCAAAAACTTGTAGATAATTAAAAAGAAAATTTCAACGGGGAACACTATTTCACTATAGAAGGTGTGAGAGCACTCCCATAAAGAAAGATACCAGTATCACAAATCCCAGCCTTGAAGATTAAAAGAAAAAAGTTACTTGTAGAGCCCTACGTGGATATAAAATCTGTACCCCTCATCCAACCCGCAATCTGCAAACATGCTCTGCGGATATAAAGCAGATATCTGCAGATTTGCAGGGCTCTAGTTATTTGCTGAATCCTGAAAATTGGACTGACGACAGTGTGTTGCAATCCTCCTTAAGAAAAAAAGGTTAAGACTTGGAAGAAAATGCCTCAAAAACAAAAGGCCTTAGCCTCAGAACACTTCTGAGCAAACAGCATGTATATCAAATTAAAATACCAATCCTCTATGTCTTTTGCATACTTCCTTAAAGTCCACATTATCCCTGAACAGGCTCCGCCGACTTCGCCACCAAAGAGTAAATTCTAAACTGCAAGTGTGAAACAAGCAGCCTGATGGATAATTTTACATCAGGCACTTATATCCGTAAATTTGTTATATAAACTAATGAGCAATTATCCCCCACCAGAGCTGGCATTGAGGTTATAAAGCAGTGGCTACTGGATTGCGATGAAGTGGAGAAACCAAACTTATGGAGGAAGATGTTGATGGCTTAGAAAACATGTCACTGCTGATAAAGGACAGGTACTCTGAGGGATAAAGAGGGAGAGGAAATATGCATGGAACTAAGTGAAGAAGCCACAGTTCTGAAATCAGCCACAGGGGGGCAAGATTCCCTCCTCAGTTTAGTGCAATGGTCACATTACATGCCTTAGACGCCTAGTCTTCACTTACCGGCTGGTCCGGAGGCACGCAATCGATGTTCTGTGATCGATTTATCGCGTCTGGTTAAGACGCGATAAATCGATCCCGGATCGATCCCGGAAGTGCCCACAATCGGCGCCGGTACTCCAGCTCTCCGAGAGGAGTACGCAGCGTCGACGGGGGGAGACTTCCGGCCGCGTCTGGACCCCGGTAAGTCCGGACTAAGGTACTTCGAATTCAGCTACGTTATTAACGTAGCTGAATTTGCGTACCTTAGTCCGAAGTCCGGACTAGGGGGGGACCAGCCCTAAGACAGGGGTGGGCAAGCTTTTTGGCCTGAGGGCCACATCTGGAACAGAAATTGTATGGTGGGCCATGAAAGCTCACAAAATTGGGGTTGGGGGTGGTGGCTCCGGGGTGGGGCCAGGAAAGAGGAGTTCAGGGTGTGGGAGGGGGCTCTGGGCTGGGGAGTAAGAGGGTGCTCCAGGCTGGGACCAAGGGGTTCAGAGGGGGATCAGGACTGGGGCACGGGATTGGGGTGTGGGAAGGTGTGCAGGCTCCAACTGGGGTTGCAGACTCTGGGGTGGGGCTGCAGATGAGGGATTTGGGGTGCAGGAGGGTGCTCTGGGCTGGAATCGAGGGGTTTGGAGGGTGGGAGGCAGATCAGGGCTGGGGCATGGGGGAGAGGCTCAGGGGTGCAGGCTGCAGGAGCCACTTACCTCAAGCAGCTCCGGGAAGCAGCGGCATGTCCCTCCTCCAGCTCTTATGGGGCGGCACGGCCAGGCGGTTCTGCACGCTGCCCCATCTGCAGGCACCGCCCCTGCAGCTCCCGTTGGCTGCGGTTCCCGGCCAATGGGAGCTGCAGGGGCAGCGTGCAGAGTGGAGGCCCCTGGCTGCCTGTATGTGTAGGAGCCAGAGGGGGGGGGGGCGCCATGCTGCTGCTTCCAGGAGCCGCATGGAGTGGCCCCTGAACCTGCTCTCCGACTGGGGCGCCGGAGGGGGCAAGCCCCAGAACCTGCTCCCCAACAGGAGTTCAAGGGCCGGATTTAAATGGCTGGTGGGCCAGATCCGGCCCGCAGGCCGTACTTTGCCCACCCCTGCTTTAGGACCAAGCTGAGAACCTTAATGATGATGCCAGCAGGTGCCAAGGACACTGGAGAAGCCTCAGACAAGTCTGGTGAATACACGTCTTGCTACTTCAAACTCTGCACTTCTAGTGGTATGACATTTTCCATTTGATTCCACATCACAGTAAGAGCTTGATCCCCACAACCTTTTACAGAGCACTTAGAGGTGGAACCGAAGGGATCAGAGAATTAATCTGCTTATCCATTGTCCTCAAAAAAACCCACAACAATTTAAATCAGAGTATACACTATTTAGGACCAGCTTTAGTATGCCTACAACATCTGAAAGGCAACCCAGAAGCTATAAAATTCTTTAGAAATAAAGTCTCTAAGACTGGAAGTGTGTCCACCTAAGGACATTTCTATCCCCAAACACACATTTTCAGTATGATCCTACCTCAGTCTTCCATTTCAAAACTTGGCACTTTTCAATACCTCTGCTTCTATCACTTAAATAAGATTTATGCTGCACAATTAGTATTGTGCAATTGAAGGAAAGACTGAATGCCTGATCATGCTCTTATGCCAACTTAATTTCTTTTTTTTTTTATAGGAAAAACAAGTCTACATCAATTGGATAAAGCTGGATTCTGTGGCAGTGCTTTGTTCCTTTTTCACCATTTAAAATTGTCTATGTGATTCATTCTTTGACTTAAACATTTTTTGAGATTTTTCTAGCTGTGATATATATTTTTAAACAGTGTCCCAAATTTTTACCATGACTTATCTATTGCTTTTTCCACTTGATTTCACTGAGCTTCTAATCTCATTTTTCCAAGATAGGCTGCCTATAATCACAGTATGGCAGAGATTTAAAAAAAAAAAAAAAAAATTACATTATGCATCACTAATTTCACAATGTGTTAAAAATTAAGATAAATAAGAATACATTCTTCCCAGCTCAGAAGATATACCTTTAACTAGCATACCACACAGGTTAACAGTACACAGCTAAACAAATAGGATACCCATCTTGGCAGAAAGAAATCCACAGCCATGAAGTCTTACACTGGCAGCTGACTGAGTCTCAACATCTTCATCCTTCCCCCATCAAAAAAATCAGGACATTTACCTCTTGCTACAGTTTTAGCTATCAACTGGGTAGGCATACATTCTCAAATCTAGCTGCCACCCTAGATGATTCACATGTACAACACCCTGTAATATATCTTGCCCACAGGGTGAATTTTTTCCCTAAATGTCGTAAGTTAGTGGTTTGCTTCTGACCTGAAATACAAGGGTTTATATCCCTTTTTTTAAAAAGGTAGAGCTACTGTAACTGGGGATGTTTTCGTTTTCCATATAAATACTTAATTTTTGAATTCTGTCAAGCATTTAATGTCTAGTGGCAATGAGTTTCACAGTTTAAATGTACATTGTAAAAAGTATTCCCTTTTAATGTTTGTTAACTTTCAGTTTTTTGACTGTCCTTGTTCTATATTGTAAGACAGCATTTACCATCTCCATTACCCTTACTTATTTTGAAAAAATCTTCTCTAAACTAAACAGTCCTAATCCATCTTTGTTTTTCCACAAACACTTGGAGGTGTTTCCATGCCATTAATCACTTTTGTCATCTGTCTATGGATTCCTTCTACTTCAGCCTTTAGATGGGTTGGTCAGAAATGAATACCACTCCCCAGTGGTTCTAATTAGTGAATTTTTAACTCAGAAATGCATATTCCCTTGTCTTTGTCATCAATAATTAATGTCATCTGCCACCATATAAGCCCATTTATCTAGTTTTGTAGGGTAAATAACAGTCCCTCAAGAAATTCACTTGTTTTCATTTATTTAAATAAATTCTGCCATCTGCAAATTGCCATCTCAAGTCCAGTACCTTCTCCAGAACATTTTGTTAATAGGTCCAGGGCTTAATATTACAGAACATGGAGCCATTCCATTATTCAACTTTCAACATGTCAAAAGGCTACCCTCTATTCCTACCTAGTTTGGTTTAAGTAGCAAAAAGTTAGACAGTAGAAAAACATTAAGAGCCGTGGTTCCCCAAAATACGTAGGCTGATCTAATCTTCAGAGTGACATGACTGAAATAAGCATATCCAGGTTCTTTACAGAGAAAAAACAAATAGCAGATACTTTAACCATTTTAGACAGTCTAAACTTCAACTCCTTGAGGGCAAACTGCTCTGAATCCAATGCTAACAATGGCTTTTTTTTTGGAGCCAGAAAAGTACTGCAATTCTCACTGTGTGAAATTAAAATTAAAGCATCACCATTGATCAAGTTGAGTGAAAGTAACTCACAATCAATCCTGAAATGCAGATATTTGGTTAAAAATAATTATGCATTGAGAGATACAAGGTTAATTAAAAAGATATTGAAAAACACCTTCCTGCCATCATCCCCAAATTATCAAAAGTTCTGCTAATTATGTATTACATTCTAATTCTTCTTTATGTTACAAATTTAAACCACTAACTGGTTAAGAACTCACTCAAACATTAAAGACAATTTCTGGAATTAGGATTTTGTGGCAATAAGCAGTTTCTTGGAAGAGTAAGGAAAGAAAAAAAAAAAAAGTGTCCCACTGTTTTCATTTTCAGTATTATAATTCCCTTCATGCAAAGAAGATGCTTTTTAAGATCAACTAATACAGTTTCATTGCTAGTTTTGAAGTGCTCATATATGGAAGTTAAAACAACCACCTTAAAATTAGGATGTCTAGAATACTTACATTCCCCATGTACTCTGAAAGTAGATCCTGCAAGGCCTGTCGCACTGCATTACACTCTGCAACTATGCGTTCCCGTCGGTCATCACGTGTGCAGGATGAATCAGCCATTAGGGCTGCTCCACTAATGATGCTCTCCAGGCGCTCTTCCAGGGAAGGCCTAAAACGTTCCTCACTGAAGCTCAAAGGATCCACAATAATTTGTTTCTAGTAAAGGAAAGTTTACAGTAATCAGTAACTGACATCACTTGTTACCATTTTTCCATCAAAATGAGCCAGTCTTGGAATAGTTACAGCAAATCCATTCTCTGTCCTGAAAGACAACCAAAAAAGTGTGCTTGTGACAGATGAGAACAAACTTTCCTAGGTAGCTTAGTAAATTTGTAGAGGCTTCCCCAATGGATTAAGTTACTGCAAGAAATGACTAGCACTGTATGTTGACAGCTAAACAAAATTTGGCCACAAGAAAGCATGTTACAGGAATTACAAATTAAAAAATGCCAGGATAAATCAGGTTCATGCTACTGAACTCTAGGTAACTGTTTCAATCTGTACAAGATTTAATTATTTCAGCTGTCAAATTCAATTACCCCCATCATAAACAAGATGATTTTGGAAGTCTATCTAGTGTAGATTAACTATGGTGATACTCTGCATGATTACATAGAGGGGGAGGGAAGGGACTGGATAAATTGGGACAGATTACAATATAAGTTGTTCTCAAAAGCAAAAGTTTTGATGTGAAATATTTACAGTAAGATTTAAACATCACAGAAGGCAATACCTTCAAGCAAATCACTGGTTTATATTAATTGAGTCTTACTGCAACACAGCTCATACTGAAAGAGTTAAGGCTGCACCAGCCAATCTACTTTCAATTGGGGGGGGGGGGGGAAGAGGA